GAAGTACCCTTTATGAATGCCTTGCACAAATAAAATTACCTGGAAGTTCATAATGCAGTCCAAGCCACCATCAGCTACTAGTTCTGCACTATTAAAACTGACCTGAGTAGGATTAGGTACAAAAGCCCATTGCCTCTGGCATACCTTGATTAACTTCCCGTTCAATTGTACTCTCCAAAGAGTTCCTTCCAGTATCTGAAGGGGACTACAAGGAAGATGGAGAAGGACTTTTCATCAAGAAATATAATGATAAGACAAAGAGTAATGGGTTCAACCTGAAAACCTTCAGCTCAGCTGCTAATGGTGCATTTAAGATAAGACTTCTATTCTGATAAACTGAATTTCCTCATCACTTCTGCAAATCACATCTTTTTGTCCTTTGAAGAAAGGTGTTCTTCAATCATCACTGTGGTGAATATAAGCTCAGAAAAAAACAGTTTGCAAGAGTACGGGTCTGTATTGTCTATTGTATTAATGTTCCAGCCAACAGACATTGCACTTCTACTGCCATGCATGGACAATGAAAATGTGAACACAAATAAATTTGAATACAAATATATAACTAAGAAAAGATAACACTCATATTTCGACAAAGATGAATCACATTATGTACTCCTCTTCTGGACTTCAAACAAAGCAAATCTATTTTATATTACGTGGATTTTGCTTCCTTTTCACAGCAAAAACATAAAGCTTTAAGCCTGGGTTAACTCTAACCACCACTGGTAGTGGACTGCTCTTCTTTTTTCTCCTTTCTCCTTTCTCTTTTCTCCTTTCTCCTTTCTCCTTTCTCCTTTCTCCTTTCTCCTTTCTCTTTTCTCTGTTTCAAAATGATGCAAACATCCAAGTAACTGCTGAGGGAAAATTATTCGAGGCAAATGATTTTTCTAAGCTTTAATATTACATAGAGACAAAGGTGTAAATTGCTGCCCTCTTAAAACGTCTTTTCTAAAAACTGTCTCTCCAAAAAGAGAAGCACAGCAAGGTGTGAATTTCACCCTGAGTGCAACTGTCACTTGACTGAGGTGCTAAATGGGAAAGCTGTTATTTGAACTAGAAACTAGACTGGCTCTCAAAAACATTAAGTCAAATTAAAGACAATTAAACCTTACCTACTGATGGATAATTTTTCCTTTACTCCCTATTTTCCCCAGTAATGGATTGTGTTTAGTTATCATCGTAAAAAGGCTGTAAGTGCATGAAGGCTTAGTTGGACCCAGCCCAAGGTTGTTAAAGAAAAGGCAAACCCTGGTCACAGGGTGCAGCACTCTCTGGGGAAGCTGAGGAAGGGGGTAGTGATCCCTCACTGGACCTGTCCCAGTAGGGAGGTTGGAAAGCTGCTCTTGGGACACAGCTCCAGGCTCTGCTGGCTGGGACTGAACATGAGAGCTGCACTCTAAGCTTTTTGATCAAATACTCATCACTCTGTACCTTTGCCTTCCCAAATCCTTTGCTGTAACCATCCCGAGTTGATGAGAACTCAATGCAGACTATCTCTTGGCTCTGGCAGCTATTTTCAGCATATCAGCCTGACTTGGCTCTGGGCTGGTTTAACTAATGCTGATAAGGGCAGTTAGTGCCAAAAAGCTTAGCAGGACCTCACATCGGGCACAGATGCCAGCATAAGCAATGACAAAATTAATTTTGGAAAAAATGTCTGCACAACTTAGACCTTCCTGTTCACACAGCTCTAGATATGGTGCTGATTGAAACTGAGCCCAGTTGATTCTCAGTCCTCCCCTTTCCCCTCCTGCCACTCCCTTTTTTTATGCTAGCTGCCAGGCAGGCAAATAACCAGGAAAACACTTCAGGGAGCTCAGCTGGCTGAAAATAAAAGGTCTCCATCTTTGGGCAGCCTGACTTCCCAAACTATCTTATCCACTGGTGTCCTGAGCTCCAGTGCCAGCACAAGTGCACACATGGGAGTTTGGGGCTTGGAGGACAGCAGGACTGTGGCACCTCCAATTTAAACAGCCAACCTCCAGGTGGGTTCACACTGAACACCAACAGCCTGCAACAGAAATGGTCCTGTCCTCCTACCTCAACTCCCCAGTCCTGGCCAAACACTCCCTCATGCCTACTCTGGCCTGGTTTACAGAGTAAAGTGATGGAGTTTGTTGATCCATCCCTTTTCCAGAAGAATATGAGTCCCGTATGTGACTCCTTCCTACAACTAGAAATCCAGACCCAAAGTCCCAAGGGTACTGTTTTCTCCTCCTTCCCTATGTTTTTTTCCTCTTGCCCTTCTTGAGAGATGCTGGTATCCACTTTAGGAACTATATGGTCCTTCAGGGAATTTTGTCTCAGGTATTGCAATGGCTGATGACAGCAGCTCCTCCTGTACAGGACAGAAACTGAAACAGAAAACAAGCCCTGTTTTCCTTGTATGGCACAGACATGTCCTGTGTGACCTGTGTAACACAAGCATGGATGATTTCCATTTCACTGCTCCTGTAAGTCAAAGCAGTGAGTAACTTCATTTGGTGCTCTTTTCCCCATCCCCTCAAGAAACTAAACCCATAGTAACCTCCCTTCATGGAAGGATAGGCAGGTAAGTAATTATATAAAATTTACAGAAGATTATATTGATTTTACATTTTATTTCAAGTTATCTATAAGTTCAGGCTGAGACTGATGTAGGAGTAGTACTGAAGGGTTTTTTTATCATTAAACACATGAGATGGATTTTTTATATTTAACATAAAACAAGATTATTGAGCATGGGGCAGCATTCTCCATAAGAGAGATGAGAAATAATTTTCCATTTGCAAATCGTGTGTGGGTCTGGACTGCAGACCTCTGCTCTGGCAGATACATTTTCCTTGTTGACTGGATTCTGCCCTCATCCTGAAGCCTTTTTTTGGGCTTGATCCAAAATACTGGCACTAGTAGAAATCTGTTTAAAAAGTTTTGAACCTGACCTTTTCTTTTGTGAGTGGTCATTTTCACAGTTATCTCTTTCTCCCATTGTGTTCACTGTTCCAGGAAGTATAGGTCACTAAAAATCTACAGAATGTCACATCCTCTAATAAACCTGCTAGTTTTATGCCTTTTCAGCTGGACCAATGTTTGCAGTGAGGAAACAGGTTTTGGTTGGTTTTTTTTTTTTTTTCTATTTAAAAATAATTATTAAACCTTGTTCATTTGCTGGAGTGTGAAAAATTTTCAGGAGCGTGAACTTGACTGCATCAGTGTTGCTTTTGATTTAAAGAATACCAGGAATAGATCTGTCTAGGCTAGTCAAAATGTGGAGCTCATGTTTTCTAGGTGCAGTACAGTATTAATTTTAATTACTAGCTAGGATTTCTTTCACAGGAGGGTGAGCATCTCCATCCTAATGACGAATCATTTTCTCTTTCTCTAATGACTGTGATTGCCTCCTTATACTTTCCTTGGTATATAATTTCTGTGTTGACACAAGTGGATGTACAGCAAAAAACCTCACTCATCCAGTCAGCCTGGGAGACTCGACTCAGATTACCCTTTAAAGTCTGCAGCACATATAAAAAACCAGAAGAGTGCAAAATCTTAATACCCCTACTTTGAGGTTATGGTTCCTTTAGCTTCAGATTACATGAATATTTCCTTTCCCTCACAGCAAGAAAAGACAGTTCTGTTCTATCATTAAATAAAATGCTTGAAACCTCCAAAATAGAAATTCTATGCTTTATGTATAGTATCCAGCATTTTATTGTGTGGATTTGTTTTTAAAAGGAGATCTAACAGACACTGTGAGTTGTCATGTCCTTACAAGATGTAAGCACTGCTTATCTGAACCTTCATGGAAAATGACAATGCATTTGCCCTACTTATCAAAAAACTAATTCTGAGCTGGCAGGTAAAAGCTGCTGCTTTACTCAGAGTAACCAACCATTTTAAAAGACTTAAGTGCATGTTCACATAATCAAAATTCCAGCAGAAATGGAGACACTGCCGATATCAGCACTAGGAGCCCATTATTGAATGAAAGGTGTAGCACCTCCTTTTTAGCTAAATGCATCTGAAACAAACCCTACATGGTGCCCACTTAATCCAATGCTTTTGACAAGGGTGGAAAAATTTGTTTTTTAAACTCACACCTCATACATACAGAATGTAATCATAGAAAATGTATTTCAAATGTATTTATCACAGAAAAATAATGAACGGTAACACTTTCAAAATTTGTTAGGAATGAAAATCTGGATTGCACAACCTTCATGTAAATATTTGGTTATGGCAGCATTTTCCCAATAGAGACAGAGCTGTGGACATAATGAAGGGTACCAAAACTACTTAACCCTTTACAAGTGTCAGAAGCACATTTAGATCAAACAGCTTTGCTATTGCAGTATGTTGTAACACACACAGGGGAATAAATGAATGGAAAATAAACCTCATCAAGTACACATTCTCTTCTGATAAACCTATCTGATTTTGCTGTACGTGAAGCACGATGTGGCTCTTTCTGGAACCGGCGAGGGCTGCTATTGAACCAAAGTCTGCTTTGTGCCCTTCCTCACACGCTCTCGTCTCCCTTTTGTCTCCTGAGCGAGCTTTCCACAATTCCAGATCTTTCACCGGCAAGACGTGTGCGCTGCACAAGGAGCGCACAAGGCGCTACAGCCGCGTTGCCATGGGGACCGAGACACGTCTGCCCGGCGCTCGCAGGGATCGCAAGGGACCGGCGCTCCCGACGGCACCGGAGCGCTGCTCGCCGCACGGCGGGCACCCCTCCGGCTACGGCGGGCACCCCTCCGGCTACCGCGGGCAGCCTCCCGCCGCTCGCACCGCGTGTTTCGCCCCGTCCGCGCTGCCGGCCGGGCGGGCAGCGGGGGCAGCCCCGGCGGGCCCCGGAGGCGCAGCGGGCCGGCGCTGCGGGCGGCCCCGGGCCGGCGTTGGCGGGCGCAGGTGCCGCGGGCGGGGCGGGCGCTGCGGAGCCGCGGCGGGGCGGGGAGCGGCCGGAAGTGACGGGGCCGGGCCGGGCTGATTCACCTGCTGGGCGGTGCGCGGGGCGCAGCCCGGGCACGGAGCCGCCGCCGGGTGCCCGCCGCGCCATGGAGCCGCCGCTGCCGCTGCTCGGCGTGTCCCTCGTGCTGCTCTGCTCCGCAGGTGGGCGCAGGTGGAAGGGACGGGACGGGTCCGACGGGAGGGAAAGAGAAGGGAAAAGGAGGGAGAAGAGGGGAGGGCGGGAGGCGGCGGCTGTGTGGGGCTGGGAGGAAGCGCGGCGGGGCTGAGGGGGCTGCTGCCCGCACGGTGTCCGCCCCGGGGGCTGCGGTGCGCCGCACTGCACCTCCGCCCCTGCGTGTGTGGGGTCCCTGCCGTGTGTGTGGGCGTGAGGAGGTCTCCGCCCTGTGTGTGTGTGAGACGGTGTGTGCGGGTCTCGGCCGTGTGCGGGTCTCGGCCGGCTGCGGGTCTCCATCGCCCGTGTATTCCCCGTCCCCGCCAGCCCCTCTGCCCTGCCCGCCCTCAGCTCAGGGTGCGGTGCCCGGGCGGGCGCTGGCGGTGGGGCCGCGCCGCGGAGCCGACCTGGGCTTTGTTCGCCCTCAGCGCGGCTGCCGAGCTTTATCTGCCGCCTCCCCCTCCCCTTCCCCCGCCGCCCTCCCGGGCAGCCTCCGGTGCGGCCGCCGTGCCCGCCCGGTGTCTCCCGGCCCGAGCGGCGGAGCCGGGGAAAACCGACGTGGAAAGAGCAAGAAGGAAAAAAAAAAAAAAAAAAAAAAAAGAAATTCGCCCCTGTGTTGCATTCAAACCGCAGCCCAGCGTGTGTAGCACCTCCAGCATCCAGGCTGGCTCTGCTGTTGAGGGGGTGGAAGGGGCCGGGTGGCTCCCGGAGAGCCCTCGGGAACGCGGGTGTCCAAACCCGATGGACACGATGGAGCCCTGCGGGGGAAGCGGGAGAGGATTTGAGGGTGGGAGGAAAGGAGTTGAATTGGATGGACCTGAACGCGTTTGTTTTTCGTGATGAAAGAAAACAAAGGAGTAGATAGTCTCAAACAAAAAAAGCAATCAACCATACCCAGAACCCACACATACCAAATCAAACGTGCCTAGGCTGCTAAAAAGCAGGCAGATGTTTTTCATCTCAAATCCTAGATGTTATTGGGTTCCTGTAATGAACTTGGCTGCCATATCGGTGTTTCCTAAACATATCTCTAAAATAAAAGCAAGTTTTCACTAAAGTTGACCCAAACTTAAATGAAATTATAAAAGGTGACAAAACACCCATGGAGGCTCAGCTTCACAGTAAAATGTATATCAGTTGTGTCAGGAGGTCAGGTTTTATTTCCTATTGAAATGTTAATGCCTGTGTTGATGTCACTGCTGTTTTGGGAAATTACTCATGGGATCAAAACTGTGTGTCTGTAATGGAATGGTGAACTCTGATCTCCTGAATGAAAGGAGCGAGGTAGTTCTGCATTAAATGTGTTTCCTGAAGCAGAGTTAGAAACAAGGTGGGTGCTGTGTAAGAGCTGTGAGTTACTAGTATTTAGTTGGCAAGGTTAGTCATCAAGATTTATATTGAAAAGCTTTATGTAACAAAAACTGAAAGGAACTTATTGTGAGTAGAATTGTATGTGCTGCTAGGTTATCAAAGGCTATGATTATAAAAATTAGGAATAATTAATGTATGAGGAAATGTCAATCCATAACAGAATTTTACTCTTTAGTTCTGCTGAAGGATACAGGTGTCTTCAGATCTCAGTGTGAAATTGACTTTGTAAATGAAGAAATATTCCTAATAAAAAAACACTTACCCTTTCATGCAGTTATGTGAGTGACTGTACTCTAAAACATGTTTATTTCACAGTCCTCTGAAGGAAATGATTGAATAATCTGTGTATGGTAGGAATTGATGTGTCCTCTGAGCTAGCCTGTGTTTTTCCCCATCAGTCTGAGTTACAGTTTCTGGGTCTGTGCTGCAGATAGACATTGCTTCCTTCACTAAGGAGCAGATGTCAGTAAGTTGCTGTTCTCCATATGGACCAAACTTAGAGGAAGCTATTTTTTGTGCAGTTGAGTGAGAGCTGTTGTCAGTGAAGCATTGCCTAGGTGCTGAAGTTATGTGCTGGTTGAGGTTTAACCCTAGTAAGACACTAAGGACCACCTACATGGTCACTTGTTCTCCTTGTGTTGAGATGAGGGAGAGAATTGAATTGGGAGGGTAAAAATGAGAAAACTTGTGGGTGGAGATGAAGACAGTTTAATGGGGAAAGCAAAGCAGAAGAAGGAATGAATTCACCCCCTCCCATGGGCAGGGAGATGCTCAGCTGTCCCCAGGAAGGCTGGGCTCTGTCACACCTAAGGGTGGCTTGGCAAGAGAAACATTGTCACTCTGAACATCCCCACTTCCTTCCTCACCCAGCTGTGCTCGGTGATCCTGACATCTTGTGGTGTGGCACTGTCTCCCTGGGTACACAGTGTTGGGAAAGTAATCTCATTCCATTTGGTGCAAATTCATGTTTCTGTGGGGTTTTCAGTGACTGAGAATAAATACAGGTGCTGAACTCGTGATCCCAATTTAACAAATAAATAATTTACGGCTTTTAAGCTTCTGAAAATGTGTAATGTCAGAACACAAATTTTCAAGAATTGAAAATGTTAACATAGTCACATTATACCTATACGAAGACATGCTGAAAAAAGATACTGTATGCATACTGACCCATTTAACCTTTGGAGGAAGGTTTTACAAAACAGTAATGGCTGTGCATATAGATGCCCCAACTGAGGATGAGTTTAAGTAGAGTGTTAAGGTAAATAATTGGGTAGGAACTTCTTTAGTCGGTAGTGATATTTTTTCTTGCTACTCTTGTAGTGGGTTTTATGTGCATTTTGTTTTTTTGTTTGCAGTGGTAAGGTAATTTTGTACTCTGTTGAAATTCTGTAATGTGTGATGCTTTATTAATAGAATTATAAGCTTTTAAATAAGGTAAAAGTTCTGGAAAACCTTAGGAAAATCTGTAGTTATTGTCCTGTTGTTAAACTTGCAAAAGTAATTCCAATATCGTGCATGCAGGAGTAGAAGCTAATGCAGGCATGGTAAGTCAGCATTAGGTGGTTAATACACTTTGCCAAATAAGTATAATAAGGAACTTAAGCCTGTTCATGTTTTTATGCATGCAATAGGATCTTGCAGAACCTTAAATTAGACGTGTGACTACCACAGGAGTTTAATGATGACTCCCAGTCTTTTAATTGCTAAACGTGGGACACTTCATCTGTTGGGCAGTAATTGAACAAGGTGCAGGGTTCAGGTTCTTCTAAAATGTTCATTGATGTGAGAAGTTACCCAAAATTTGGGACCTGTTTCCTGGATCTTGGAGTTTTAAGAAGTATGAAAGTCTTTAACCAGAGACTACTTAATCAACTGTTAGTCAAATGCTGTGGCATCAACCATGACACATGAATTAGTGATTTTGCTTTGGCTAATCTGTGTTTCCCAGAAGATATTTTATGTGTTGAGAATGCTGCTGCAGAGATTATTATAAGTCATCACTTTGGTCTCCTCTGACTGCCCCCCTGTGTTGCATCAAGATTCAGCTGCTTCTCTGTCTTCCCTTCCAGTTCTTGCCTCTTGCACAGCCAAGCCCACTTACAGACAGGTGAAACTACCCCTCCTGAGTGTCTGGTTTAACTTCTGTTGCTGCTTTACGAAAAATATTTGTGCTCGTGTTTTTATATGAGCACGTGTATGCTTTGCTATAATTCCATTCACACTTCAGGAAAGTAATCTTGAATGTCCTTAAATCTGCCTCAGTGTTGGAGCATATTAAAACTCCTTTGCCACAGTGCCTGCAGAAATTTATACAGACTAGGAAGCTTGGTTTTGGGGCCAGTATTGTTTCAACATGCTTCCACAATAATTTAATCAATTGTTGTTTGCATGTTTTGTAAGCTTTTAATGACAGGGATCCTATTTGGTCTTGTTGCAAATTCTGATAGATTTCTTGAAACTTTTAGATACTGTGTGAAACATAATAAATATGGAGAAATTTTAACAACTGTGAGGCTCACTGGAAGAATGTATGCGTCCCCACCCCCTCTACTACAGCAATTTAGTCCCACTTTCTTTTTTTCTGTTTCTTTCTTTTTCCCCCTCCCTTTTTAGGGAATTCCTCTTTTACTCCGTTGCACCTTTCAGGAGATGGCTCAGAGAAAAGTCTCTTTGGCCAGTTGCCACGGAGTAAGTGGCAGGAAGTCACAGTTCTGTGTAAACCTGTTTCAGTAGCAGCTGCAATATAAGCAGCCCCTGCATCCTAGCTGGTGCTTTCCTTTGCTGCAGTTGTAAATGGGTCTCATTTGCTGAAAACTTTAATTTTTAACTGGTTAAATCACATGATTTGAAAGAAGAAAGTGTTTTGCCACCAATTTGCCGTGGTACAGGGCAGGAATGAGTGACAGGAAGGATGGCAGAAGAGCATTAGGAGGAAAACTACTTCTGTTTGATGAGTATTTTCCCAAAGTAGGGAAATACCTGTAAAACCTTGGCCTGGAAAGAGCTTAGTCTAGGAGTAAGACTACATGGCTTAATCAGGCAATCAGTCCAGATGTAACCTCAAAGATTATTTTTGCACCCCATTTAAAGCTGTACCTGGCATTCATCTGGCTCCATAGTGAGCTAGTTCAGGGAGTTTAAAGTTATAAAAAGAATAAATTTTTGTGAGGTCAGTTTTCTGCCTATTCATTTTCCTGATCCAACTCAGCAAGATCAAGTCTGAATTATAGCAAGGGGGTGTCAGCTGGAACCTCAAATGCACATGGGCAGAATATATTATTGCTATTGTTTATTTATTAATTTCCTTAAATGTCACCTACTTACTGGGTCATGTGTACAAAACCTGATAAAGAGGCAGGATTTGGAGCTTTATTTGTTTCACACTGGAGCCATTCACTGGTGCTCTGATGTCCTTTAGCTGCTGTCAGGATGCATTTGAGGTGCTTGATGCTTGCAAGTTGTGCAGTTGCACTTGCTGCTACATTTTTTTAACAGATTTGTTTTTCATGCCCTACAGCTAAAGCCTATATGCTTAGTACGCTGAAAAATGATTAGTCAACAAGAACTATTTGGTGTGTTGGAGGGAAAGATGAGGATTTGATGCATTCCCAACTGT